GCAACCCCCAGCTCGTGGGCTCAAGCGATTCTCCTGCCTCTGCCTCCCAAGTAGCTAGGACTATAGGCATCTGCCATAACGCCTGGCTATTTTTTGGTTGCAGCCGTTGTCATTTGGCAGGCCTGGGCTGGATTCAAATCCACCAGCTCAGGTGTATGTGGCTGGCACCTTAGCCACTTGAGCCATAGGCTCCGAGCCAAGAACTCTCTATCAAAAAAAAAAAAGAGAGTCTCACTATGTCGCCCTTGGTAGAGTGCCGTGCTGTCACAGCTCGCAGCAACCTCAAACTCTTGGGCTTAAGTGATTCTTTTGCCTCAGCCTCCCAAGTAGCTGAGACTACAGGTGCTTGCCACAATGTCTAGCTATTTTTGTTGTTGTTGCAGTTGTCATTGTCCTTTAGCAGGCCTGGGCCAGGCTGGAACCCGCCAGCTTCGGTGTATAAGGCTGGTACCCTAGTCACTGAGCTATAGGCTCTGAGCCAGCATCAAAATATTGGAGGCATTCTACTGTCCACCTGTATATCAGTCTTTCAGCTGTTGATTCAGAAAAGATATAGGCATTTGAATTCTAGGACTTCCTTGCAGTAACTCCACAGTCTCTTCCTTAGCAGTGCAAAAAGCATAAGTTAGGAGCTATTGGTGAAAACCCAGCAGAGGTCATTGCCTGCAGAGGTGTTGGCAATTCAGCCAGGTAACCTCTGTCGTGTACATGGGGTAGACTGTTAGCAAGGATATGGGCCCAGGAAACCCTAAAGGAGCTTGTTTAACTTTGCCCTCCCTGTATTTTCCAGGAGCATATGGGGGCCTTTCAGACCGCCCCTCAGCATCCATCTCCCCCAGTTCTGCCTCCATTGCTGCCTCCCATTTTGACTCAATGGAACTGCTCCCGCCAGAATTACCCCCCCGCATCCCCATTGAAGAAGGACCCCCAGCAGGGACAGTTCATCCCCTCTCAGCCCCTTACCCTCCCCTGGACACTCCGGAAACAGCCACAGGTAACAGAGGTGTGAGTGTGTGTCTCCAGGTCCTGCTGCCTGCCTGCTTGCCTGCCTGCCTTCCTAAAACTCCTACCTTGAGATCCTGAGGGATCTGATGGGGTGGAGGGAAATGGTACATAAGGGGAGAGAAGTACCTTAAGGGGAAAGCAGGGCTCTTTTCTCCCAGGATAGGAGAGGCTTCCTTGACACCATGGTTTCCCTTCCTCTCTCCTTCCTGAAGGGTCATTCCTGTTCCAGGGGGAGTCAGAGGGAGGTGATGGGGACCAGCCCCTCTCTGGATATCCTTGGTTCCATGGGATGCTTTCTCGACTCAAGGCTGCCCAATTAGTGCTGACAGGAGGCACTGGCTCCCATGGTGTCTTCCTGGTACGGCAGAGTGAGACCAGGCGGGGTGAATACGTCCTCACTTTCAACTTTCAGGGCAAGGCCAAGGTGAGTGAGGAACAGGCTCTGTTCCATGCCAAGTTTGTGGGTGAATTAAGGGAGCATTGTCTGGGGAGGAGGGTTTTGTAACTGGCAGGACTTAGGCTCCTCCCTAACCTTGCTCATCCTGCCCTCAGCACCTGCGTTTGTCCCTGAACGAGGAGGGTCAGTGCCGGGTCCAGCACCTGTGGTTCCAGTCCATTTTCGATATGCTTGAGCATTTCCGGGTGCACCCCATCCCTCTGGAGTCTGGAGGCTCCAGTGATGTTGTCCTTGTCAGCTATGTCCCGTCCTCCCAGCGACAGCAGGGTGAGCAGAGCAGGTCTGCAGGGGAGGAGGTGCCCGCGCACCCAAGAAGTGAGGTGTGTGCGCCAGAAAGATGGTGTGGGGGGCGCTGTAAGGAGAGGCTTTGCTTGGGAGAGCAGGGTAGAGAAGGCTTTTGCACATGGGGGTTTGGGAGGGAAACAGATAAGCCAGTAGGAACATAGGAAGGCAGAATGCTCCTTGCTGGAGCAGGGAGGCAGTTGTGAGGTGGGCTGGTGCATTCCCATTCCATCAGACCCTCTGTTCCATCGTCTGTCTGTCTCCTGAATCCATCCTCCCTGGCCTTGTCTTTGCTCTTCCACACAGCTTGGCCTTTGGCCTGCCCTCCTTGGGGATGCTCTGTCTGCTCCCCCTCCCTGCTCCTGTGATGTCTGATGCCCCTGTCTGATCTCTCCCTTTCCCCCACCCCGACGTCCCATCTGTCCCCACGTTGCCCCTCCCCCCAGGCCGGGAGCAGGCTGGGAGCCATGCAGGGGTGTGCGAGGGAGATGGATGCCACCCCGATGCCTCCTCCACCCTCATGCCCTTCGGAGCGAGTGACTGTGTGTAAGTGTGGTCCTCCTCTCACCACCGCCCATGATCCATCTTCCATGGATGGGGGGTTCACTCAGCAGACATGGGATGTGGGGGAGATAGCACATGGCTCCTGGGGGACAAGCCAAGGGGAGGCCTCTGCAAGAGCTTGCCTCCCTCCACAATCAGTCTGTCTTCTTACTGTTTCTATCCAGAATCGAACACCTCCCATGACCCACCCCAGCCCCCTGAACCCCCTTCATGGACAGATCTCCCACATCCTGGGGCAGAAGAGGCGTCGGGGGCGCCAGAAGTGGCGGCAGCAACAGCCACAGCAGCCAAAGAGAGGCAAGAGAAAGAGAAAGCGGGCGGTGGAGGGCTCCAGGAAGAGCTGGTCCCCGTGGCTGAGTTGGTCCCCGTGGTTGAATTGGAAGAGGCCATAGTGCCAGGCACAGAGGCCCAGGGAGGCATTGGATCTGGCGGGGACTCGGGGGTGACCCCGATGGTGCACCTCCAGCAGTTACCACGAGGGGGTGATGAAGAAGAAGGAGCCCACCCCAGAGCCATTAATAACCAGTACTCCTTCGTGTGAGATGCCCTACTCACCCCTCCTCCACTATGTTCTCCAGCCCTTAGTTCAGTGTGAGACTGGAGACTGGACTGGGTAGGGACTTAAGAGGAGGTAGAAATCCCTCCCACATGCTTCCTGACCTTGTTGGCCAAGGGCATATATGTTGGTACAAGCAGAGGTTCAAGAGCCCTGTTGATTCCCCTCTTTCCCCAGTTTATACACTACAGGTGCCCCTTCCCCTGGGCAGGGGATTTGGGCTCCATTACCTCCCTGAGGGGCTCTTGTGGTCAGCCCCACCCCTGAGGGCCATTTCCCCATTAACCACCCCTCAGCCCAAGAAGGGTGAGAGGGGGAAGGGCTGTCAGTTATATTAAGGTTGTTGTTGTTGTTGTTTTAAACAAAATGGAGAAGCATAAATAAATAAAAGGGTTTATCTCAGTTGCATTGTGATGCCAGTATTTGTAGTAGGGACTGGGACAGAAGGGTCAGGAGTGCAGTTAGGAGCTGTGAGCACCAGAGCTGGCCCAGGTCTTGCCCGTCACTTTGCAGTCCTATGCTTCTCTGGGTCTTGTTTATTGAGTGTAAGTGCAGAACTAAGTGGTGCTTCAGGTCTCCAGCAAGTGCTTTTTTTTTTTTTTTTTTGAGACAGTCTATCCATCACTCCACGTAGAGTGCAGTGTTATGGTCGTAACTCACTGCTATGTCCAGTTCCTAAGCTCAAGCAATCCTTTTGCCTCAACCTTCTCTACAGGCTTGTGCCACCACACCTGGCTAATTTTTCTTTCTTTTTTTTTTTTGAGACAGAGTCTCACTTTGTCACCTTTGGTAGAGTTCGGTGGTGTGACAGCTCACAGCAACCTCAAACTCTTGGGCTTAAGTGATTCTCTTGCCTCAGCCTCCCGAGTAACTGGGACTACAGGTGTCTACCACAACACCTGGCTATTTTTAGAGACAAGGTCTCACTCTGGCTCAGGCTGGTCTCAAACCTGTGAGCTCAGGAATCTACTCACCTCAGCCTCCCTGAGTGCTAGGATTACAGGTGTGAGCCATTGCACCTGGCCAATTTTTCTATTTTTGGTAGAGATGGGGTCTTCCTCTTGCTCAGGCTGGTCTCCAGCTCTTGAGTTCAAACACCTCAGCCTCCCAGAGTGCTAGGGTTACAGGTGTGAAACACTGGGGCTCCTCCCTCCACAAGTTATTTTAACAGGTTAGCACAGCAAATGCAGGACTGATGATCTCCAAAAGCCCTTCCTGCTCTGAATTTTTTTTCTTTTATTTTTTTGAGACAGTCTTACTTTGTCACCCTTGGTAGAGTGCTATGGATTCACAGCTCACAACAACTTCAAACTCTTGGGCTTAAGCGATTCTCTTGCCTCAGCCTACCATGTAGCTGGGACTACAGGCGCCCACCACAACATCTGACTATTTTTAGAGACAAGGTCTTGCTCTGGCTCAGGCTGGTCTCGAACATGTGAGCTCAGGCAGTCCACCTGCCTTGGCCTCCCAGAATGCTAGGATTGCAGTCATGAGCCACAGTGCCTGGTGAGAATTTTTTTTTTTTTTTTGAGACATAATCTCACCCTCTGTAGAAAGCTATGGCATCATAGCTCACAGCAACCTCAAACTCCTGGGCATAAACAATTCTCTTGCCTCAGCTTCCCAAATAGTTGGGACTACAGGCGCCTGCCACAATGTCCATCTATTTTTCTTATTGTTGTCATCGTTTGGCAGGCCTGGGCTGGGTTCAAACCCACCAGCCCCAGTGCTTGTGGCCAGTGTCCTAACCACTGAGCCATGGGCACTGAGCTCCTGCTCTGAATTTTTGAGTTAAGGCTTCTTGCCCTAGGGAGAAGGCAGGTAGGGAGAGATGGTGGAGACATACTGGATCCGTGTTGGGAGAGATTTAATGTGGCAGTCAGAGTCTGGTTGCAGAAAGGCCCAAGAACAGGCTGCCTGCCTCCCTCTCAGAACCAGGCTAGAAAATGGATGACAAAGAGCACTGGCTTTGGTCCTGACTGCTTCTCATTGGCTGGGACCTGGGCAAGGAATACTCACTTTGGGCCTAGTATCCTCATCTGTAAAATGTGAAGTTTCCACCAAATTACAGCTGCTGACATAATTTGTTTGGCCTGGATAATGCTTCCTTGAGTTTCACATAAAAATTCAGATTGCTGGCCGGTGCCTGTGGCTCAGTGAGTAGGGCACCAGCCCCATATACCAAGGGTGGTGGGTTCAAACCCGGCCCCTGCCAAATTGCAAGAAAAAGCTGGGTGTTGTGGTAGGCCCCTGTAGTCCCAGGTACTCAGGAAGCAGAGGCAAGAGAATCGCCTAAGCCCAGGAGTTGGAAGTTACTGTGAGCTGTGACGCCATGACGCTCTACCCAGGACAACATAGTAAGACTCTGTCTCAGGAAAAAAAAAAATTCACACTGCTGGCTTCTCTTGAAAATCTGAAGGTTCAGGTGCACAGCTCCATCTTCCATACCTTCCATACCTCTCCACCATCTCATGGCACACACCAGTTAGCATGCCTCTCTACTTATTCCTTCCCCCTCTTGAACAAGGCTCTGCTCTCAGAATCTAGCTTCCTCAGCTGTGGCTGTGCTCTCCAACAGAGGGCATCCCTGCACTTCCCAGCTCTGGGGGTGGTGGGTGCCAACAAAGAGGGGCCAGCATTTGAAGAATCCCACCTACTTTGCTTGGCCCTCTCCCTACCTCCAACCAACTCTGCCTCTTGCGGTCCTGCCTCACTCTCCCTCCAGGCAGTGTGGAGCCCATGCCCCTCAGCCTTGCCCCCCACCTCCAGTAGGCCCTACCCATGCTCATGACCTTGCTATTCTGGGCCTTGCGTCCTGTCGGTAGATGGACAGGAGACAGCTGGGCTCACAGGCCACCCAGACTGGGAGCTATCGGGGGAAGCCTGCTGGCTCTCTCTGTTTTGTGTAATCCCTGGGGCTCCCTCAATCCTTGGCCTCAGGAGGATGGGGATAGAATTAGCCTTGAAAAGGAGAGTGGGGATGCTTTAGAGATCTGGGTGCTGTGTTCTCCCAAGTGAGATGATGATGGAAAGCTATGGCGCCCCAGGGTAAGTAGGGCCTGATCCTCTCCTAATCTAGCAGCAACTGGTGCTCTGAGTCTTCCCCCTCCCCCAAACCCTGCCAGGCTTCAGGCACTTGCCTTTCAAAGATGGGCCAAGGGAGGGTCCATGGACACCCACCCACACCACAGACTGGCACATCTTGTCTGTTGGAGACTGAGAGACTATTAACCTTTAAGGTTTTCTTTCTTTCTTTTTTTTTGAGACAGAGCCTCAAGCTGTCGCCCTGGGTAGAGTGCTGTGGCATCACAGCTCACAGCAACCTCCAACTCCT